TACATATGTGGCTACGATCATCATTAGGTAACGTGAAAATCAAAATTCCGGTGATCAATGTCAGGGGAGTGTACGTAAGCAATTTGTTAAATACGACTTTATTAAATTTATTGTGAATGTAATGTCTGTCTTGTAACTATTAGTCTATTTCCTATTGATATTTATAATATTTCCTCCTCCATAAACAAAAACAAATATTAATTTGATTTCTGTACAATCTACTGGCTGTTAGAGATAATCTATACAAATCTCATATTTTAAAAAACCCACCACGGTTTGATTTATCCTTGCTATGTCCGCCCAAGTTTTTTTGAAAAAACAAAAAATTTATGATGGTCTCATTGTGTATATCTCGGCGAATTTCAGCCGCAATTCATAATGATTTCATTTACTGTTATTGTAAGAGTTATCAATATAAGTTATCAATATATAATAATAAAAACAGACAAAATATTAAAATTCAAACCTTACAATATTTGAAGCCCGTAAAGCTTGATTAATATAATATCGGAACTCGAGTTCAGTTCTGCAAAATGGTTTATTATCGCTAACATTTTACCGATCACCTTATAATGCGACCAGTCATTCTTCATTGGCGGCCCGCTAATTTCTATGACAAAAAATTCTTCATTTTCTTCTCGTAATTCAATAATTGTATCGATTTTCTTTCCGGTTGACCGGCGTTCAGAATCTCCTTTTTGCGAATTTTTATCTTTCGCACTTTAAGACAGGTTTCGCCGTAAGACGTGTGCCATTCTCTTTTATTTTTTAAAAAAAATTGATTAAAAATGGGTGCTAGGACACTACTGATATATGTGCCTTCCGACATTGGGTCAATTAATAAATTGAGGTCTTCCATTAGCGCCACCCTGTAAATATAATTATATTTCATATATAAATAAATAGTAAATTTTTCATTTAAATCGATGACTAAATAAGAAAAATTAATAAACATAAACTCACATGTGTCTCACAAAATTCAATGTGAATTGATTTTCAAATGGAGATGTATCTTCTTCCGTTATTTGATTGAGATTTTCCTTCGTTTTTTGAATATAGTATTATGATCAATAATGTCTAATAACAATTTGACTTCATTTTCCACAGGAATTTCGATTTCTCTCTCACTTATATCGCTAAACATTTGTTTTACAATACTTTCATCCAACGTCTCCAGAAATCCTTCATTAGTAGAATTGAAAAATATAATGTCCAGTTTTTTTTTTTTTTTTTAATCCCATAGGCAGGATCGCCTTGGGAGCGCCGTAGAGCCGCCTTTTTGATTTACTATAATCTTTTATCAATTGCACGATCACAATTACGTGTATCACATGAAAGTTATATATCCAATATATGCCCACTAGGGCAATTCCATTAATACCCCGGAATTTCACCAGGATTATCCTATTCGGGGATCCTTTATTGATTACCCCAGCCCTTCGATCGTCGTTGCCTTCTAAATTGTCGTGGCCTTCTAAATTGTAAGATCCACCGTCAGTTAAGATCTTGGGAACCGGAGATTTCCTTCTTTATTTGATTTCCTGATATTGCGTCATACGACTGTGGCTAATTTTAAATCGTGATCCCGGCGACCTGCGATTGAAGACCCGGGAGCGCAACCACTACGCCATCGACCCGCGGGTGTTTCTACAGATTATTTTTCAACTGATATTCTTTGAAACGTTCTTTTATATTAATTCCATTTACGATCCATTCATTTGTTTTTCCCACCAACAATCATTAGGCTTGCATCGAATTCTTCACCATCTGCTTCAGTTTCAAAATCACATTTTTTCTCGTTGATTCACCAAAAAAGGGTTTGGTAATGGTCTTCTACTTATATATTTTGGTGGAAGATTATAACGTAAATTGCTTGCTTTATATTTTAGTGTAATGGTTTGATCTGGTGTACAGATATCAGCTTTTCCACGCATCTGGTGTCATGGTTAACTAGTGACTGAACGATTGATCGTTTTGACCTTAATTACATACAAGTTTCCTGCGTATTGTTCATCATCGTGACATCGTCCCTGAAGTTTCCAGTCTGTGCGAAACAAATTCCCAAACAATACTGAACCCGCCTTAACAAAATTATCTTTATCCACATTCACTCTATCTCCACAGTATCGTTTGTTGCCAAGCTTTGATCAACGTTGGTGAATGTGATTTTCAAGGTCACCATATTATTCGATTCAGGTGAGCTTCCGACCTCCTTATCATTTGTTTGAAATACCGCATTACCTTCCACCAAATTAATCCTTTATTTTTCTCCCTCTTTACATTATCACTTTCATTGTTCTTGAAATTCTTACTCAACCTTTTTTCTCCATTTCTGTCAACCTCGATCTTTGTCACCACATCACATTTGGCATCATTTTCAACGTTCGTATCTTCATTGTTATCAACGTACCACAGGCAGATACCTCAGACCTTTGTTCATCGTTCTCCACATCCATTCCATTTCGGTAGCATTGTCCAATATTACTTGCTTCTCACAACACAGCACGACTTCGACTTTTGTTTCGTCTTCTATTCCCTTTTTTTTCTTTCTTTTGTTACTATTGACAAGAGCCGCTGTTAAAGTCGTTTAACTTATCCTTAGCGTGTGTGTACTGGCAGATACCTCAGACCTTTGTTCATCGTTCCCCACATCCATTCCATTTGGTTGCATTTGTTTCGTCTTCTTTTCCCTTATTATTATAATTATTGACAAGAGCCGCTGTTAAAGTCGTTTAACTATCCTTAGCGCGTGAGTACTTTTATTATTGCACTAAAAAAACTTTCACTTTTCACACAATTCAACCAGGTAGGTTTCGTTTTACGTCTTCAACCAGGTAGGGTTCGTTTCGTTTGAGTGTCGCTTCGTTTTACGTCTTCAACCAGGTAGGGTTCGTTTCGTTTGAGTGTCGCTTCGTTTTACGTCTTCAACCAAGTAGGGTTTCGTTTGAGTGTCGCTTCGTTTTACGTCTTTACTAATTTAATGGAATTCAATATTCTTGGCGAGATAACTGA